TGGCCCGTGGGCCGTGGTTTGAGGACCCCTGGCCTAGAGCCTCCAGCAGGGCATGGCAGGGGTGGGGATGGGGGGCTGAGCATCCTAGCCCAAGCCATCGCTGAGCAAGCTGCTACCAGCTGCCATGACCAGCCCCATCCTGCCCCAATTCAAGCAGCTATGGGCTCCCAACTTGGCCCAGGCCTGAGGCTCATCGGAAAGTCATTACAAATGCAGATTCTGGGAGCCCACCCCCCAGGTTCTGAGCCCCACTTTAACAGGACCCCAGAGGGTCCTCAGCTCACAGTTGGACCGACAACTAGCAGAGCCTTCCCCCCAAGCCCATCTGCATCTCCAGTGAGGGGCGGAGCTCCGGAAGGCAAACCTCCACCCCCAGGGCAAAAGAGCAAGTGCAATCCAAGAGAGATCCTTTTCCCAGCTACAGGAGTGCCTGAGCGCCTCTGAAAACTCCCATTGTTAACGTGTAAGAGGCTGTGTAATTTCGGAATACTGTGGAAGCCAAAATGTAAGCCTTCTCACAGCTCTGAGAAGAACAGAAATCTACGCTCTCAGCCGTCATTGTGAGGGACCAGCTGTGCAGATTGAAAAATGCAGATGCAGGAATGTAGGGACTGTCAGAGCGGCTGGGTCAGCATGGCCCTTTAATGCCGCATGCGTGAAAGCTGCGGGTGGTCAGATCGACCTCTTAATTGAACAGTGTGCTAGGGTTCCCGTTTCTGGAAAAGTCCAAGATGCTGGAAATCACGTTCTGAAGAAATAGGAAGAATCCTAATACATCTTCAAAGAGATGATGCAAATTCTAGGTTTTTGCAAATTTAGAGCCAACTGGGAGTTACCCAGCCAACGAGAGGCAAGTGCACCCCAGGTTTCGGGCCCTCACTGCGCGCGCGCACATGCACAGACACACACACACACACACACACACACTCACACACACACGCCTGGGAACTTCTCATGTGAGGCTGCCATCCTGGCCCCTGCACACCACCCAACACCCACGCACACTGGTGACAACCAGAAATGTCTGCAGAAAAGGCCAAACGCCCTTATTGAGGGCACTCGCACATCGCCACGAGGAGTTAAAACCTAACCTCAAGGGTTGACCTCTGGTTCCAGGCCAGCCCCACAGGGGTTGGCGCTCACTCTGCCTCATCAACCCTGACCCACCCCTGGCCCTCCAGCTCTGGCTGGTCCTCCCTTCTGCTCCAACCTTCATGCGCTGGCCCGGGTGCCCTGGGTACCTGACAGCACGAATCGTGGCAGCAGGTGTCACCCACCCCGTGAGCACAGGCTCTGCGCATCCTTTCACGTCATCCTTACACCCCTTGTGATCGCTGGCTGCTATGGCTGTGTCCACTCCCCCAAGAAATTCTTTCTTAGCTGCTGTCTTCCTCTATGGCAGTGGTTCTCAACCTTCCTAATGCCGCGGCCCTTTAATACAGTTCCTCATGTTGTTGGTGACCCCCAATTTCATTGTTACAAATTGAACATAATTAAAGCATATTTATTAATCACAAAAACAATATGTAATTATATATGTGTTTTCCGATGGTCTTAGGTGACCCCTGTGAAAGGGTGGTTCGACCCCCAAAGGGTCGCGACCCACAGGTTGAGAACCGCTGCTCTATGGGGAACACTGTCTTGTCCACAGTTCTCCCATTCCGGGGGCTCCAGAAACCATGAGCATGAAGTCCTGGGAACTTACCGATCTTCCCGATGAGATTGTTTTGAAGGTAGAGGATCTTTAAATCGCGGCACCATTTGTCAATGTGCTCCAGCCTCTCTATTTCTTGCTGGTGCAAGGAGAGCTCCTCCAGGGAAAATATCACACACTCGTTGTGCTCAGCATTCCGTCGAATCAGGTCTTCCGTGACTGCAAGGACATTTGTTACAGGTCACACCTCCGCCCTCGTGTTCATCATTGGGTGATGACATGACTGCCCCATGGGTCTTTCCTTGCAGTTGGATCAAAGAGCTCGGAGCAGTGCTGCCCCCTGCTGGAGGTTCTGACCCACCGTGGGTCAGAGGGAAGGGACACGACCCCATAGTTTTGCCTCTTTTGCGCAGGGTTTACACACATTTTTAAATATATTATTGACTTCAGAGAGGAAGGGAGAGGGAGAGAGAGAGAGAAACATCATTGATGAGAATCATTGATCAGCTGCCTCCTACACACCCACAGGGGGGATGGAGCCCGCCACCCCGGCATGTGCCCTGACCAGGAATCCAACCGTGACCTCCTGGTTCATAGGTTGATGCTCAACCACTGAGCCATGCCAGCTGGGCTACACACACTGTGCAGTATGGATGCAGACAGAGTTGATGGGTGAGGACTATGGGCATGTTGACATGGCATCTCGTGGTCAAACTGGGTGAGACTGTGGAGGTAAACCAAAACAGAGCAACTGGCCACTGAGAGGCACAGTGGGGCTGACCGAGGGCAGCAGTGAGGAAAGGTGCAGCCATTCATTCACTCACCTGGTCAGCACTAGTGTCACAAAAGCTGCAGAGGGGAGAGGGACACCTGGAGTTATAAAGCAGCCGCCACACGGTCTGTCCCCAGGAGGAACGACAGGAGACGCTCAGAGGACGAGGGGCAACAAGAGTGTCCTGCCCAGGGATGGGTAGCACGGGGCTGGCCTGACAGGGTGCCAAGGGCCTGGAGGTGGTACCCTGGGGCCACAGTTCGAACCAAGGACAACACGTAAGTCATCTTCGTAAGATACACTAAAATCGAGGGGACATTGACAATGGAGAAACCCTGCATTTCCAGGGCTGTTAAAAATTATTAATCCAAGCCCTGGTTGGGTACTTCAGTTGGTTAGAGCATCGTCCTGATACGCCAAGGTGGCGGGTTTGATCACCCATCAGGGCACATACAAGACTCAACTGATGAACGCATGAATAAGTGGAACAACAATTGGATGTTCTGCTCTTTCTCCCTCCCCACCCCCTCCACACCCCCCCCCATCTCTCAAGTCAATCAACCAATCAATCAATCAAATTATTAATCCATTTGATCTTTACATTTTAGGAATGTAAAAATATTCCATATTCACCCCAAGAGATAATCAAAATTCATTTATTGCTCATTTACAAGGTGCCAGGCACTTCCCTAAACACTTTGCATGTAATAACATATGGGCAGATACAGTATCTATTTACATCTGTCAGGAGAGGAGTGAAGGTGCAGTTTGCAAACTCGCCCAAGGTCCTAAATGTGTTGAGGCAAAGCCCTGCACAGCACCTTCGGCTGCCCCCCGGCCATGCCACATCCTTGAAGCGGAGTTGGCCTTTATTAAAAAATATGAAACATGTATGAACCCGATCATTCGTGTGCAGTTAGTGAACCCTCTGCTACTTCTGGTGACAGGAGTGGCTTGCTATGTCCGTTCTTTGGAAGAAAGAGAAGGGAAAGGGAGAGGTGGGGAGAGAGAAATACCACACAGGGGAACGTGCCTGCGGCCCTAAGCTTTGGCTCCACAAACAGGCAGAGATGACTGCACACGTGGCTGGGGAGGAAGAGGCTAACTGGCAGCCTGCATCGGGCTTGCTGGGCGCCCACGGCCTGGGGCGCTGCACTGTCTCCCGCGGCCCCTGCTAGGAGGCAGGCCAGCTTGCAGACAGGCATGGTGTCCCGGCTGGTTCGGTTCCTGGGCCACTAGGCACACTGCCTTGCCAAGGGTCTGAAGGCTGAGGCTCTGGGACAGTGAGGAGCCCCGGACCACACAGCAAGCAAGGCCGCGCGCAGGCCCGACCTGGGGTGTCCGACCCCAGCACTCACTGCGCCTTTCAGCCACCCCCTCGCGTACCCCCTTCATAGAGGAGGACCCCGAGCCCCTCAAGGGCCAGGCTGCCCGGTGGGTCGGAGGCGGGCCTGGCACAGCTGGGTCTGCCCAGGGCCAAGGGGCAGGATTTGCCGAGCTGGGCTTGGGCCCGTGGGCGGGAAGGGGCAGCGCTGGTCCGAAGCAGGCGCTGAGGGTCCTAGTGGACCCGGGCAGATGCCAGGAAAGGGGACCATCGAGAGCGAAGGTGGGAGAGGAAGGGGCGCTTACTCCGGCCCATGGTGCCTCTGCGGGTTCGTGGGCCCCGAAGCCGGACCCAGAGTCCCGCGAACTCCGCTCACGCTTCCCCGCAGCGGCTCTGCGCGCACACACCTGCCCTGGGAACCCGCGGTGGAGGGGCTCCCGGGAGGAGATGGGGCTGTCCCCACCCCAAACCTCGCCTCTTCCCCGCCCCACCCTCGACCTGCCACAGCCTGATCCCCTCCCACAAGGCTCTGGCCAGATCAACCCAGAACCACAGGGGCCCTCAATTCCTGGTGGGATCCGCCTGCTGTGCGTGCCTCCTGGCCTGCCCTCCACCCTTTTATCTTTTTGTATTTTCTCTCACACCTTCCGGAGCCGGGCGATCTGGATTTGGGCTCCGCTCCACGTACTAGCGTGTGACCTTAAGCTTCCGGAGCCTCAGTTTCTCCCTCTGTACGATGAGTAACGACAATGACCGCAAGGGTCCCTGGGAAGCTTGAATGAGCTAATGTGAGTGAATGGGAGACACTTGGTAAAAACAGCGGCTCAGTATAAAGGTTCGTTGTCGTCTCTTGAAAGTCACAGCCCAACACCACTCAGTTTCCTACTAAAAAGTTTTCTAAAAACGCCACCCACTAGGAAGGCCTGGGGGCAGGGGGACAGGGAGGGGCTAGAAGAGGTCAATGGAGGGGGGGCATAAGTAGTGTTTTCAACAATCAAGATTAAAAATAATAAATTAAAAAAATAAAACACCACCCACTACCCCTCCGTCAACTCTCCCTACACACCACTGTCTTAATGGTAAAGGGTAGGAGTCTACCTGCTGTGGCTCGCACTCACCTCCCAGTAACCCAAGCCCCATACACTGTCCCCCCAATTCTGGACCAGGGACGCTCATTCGCCCTCAGATGTTTGCATGTCTTAGGCCTCCCAAAAGTTGTTTTATTTTTAATGTGTTATTATTAGAAAACTATTACCCTCTACCCCATTTGCAGCAACAACAAAAGGCAACATGTAAACGATTAAAACAGAAGCCCCCTCCCATCCCAGTCATAGTCTTGCCTTGATATGTGTATGATGTTTGCATTTGCAGAGAAGATTCATAGAGCACTGTTGAGTGTTCACGGTTCGTCGTGGGCAGTCATGAGGGTTTGCAGGATGGAGGCAAGCGCATGGATCGAGTCAGAGCTGCAGGAAAGCCAAAGCAGGGGGAGTGGTGTAGGGACTAATCCGCCTGGCAGTGGAGGTGACTGCATAGAGGGGGTTCTGGGACAGTAAACCTGAGAAACTAATCAGGGTAGTGAAGGTGTTAGATGTCAGGCCAAAGGAGCGGAACTGGAACAGTGGGGTTTCAGTGGAGTTCTAAGGAGGTACCCGAAAGCCACTCAAACTATAAATGGAGGTGATATCCACCATCATTTCGCCATGTTTTGGAAGGAGGGTGGTGTGGGGTGAAGAGTCTGACCTCTGGCTTTGGAGAACCAGTTCCAACCCACAAGTTTATTATTGTGTGGCATTTGTGTGGCACCAGACAGGTGACTCCACCTTCCAGAGCTAAAGCTTACCCATTTCCATGTGAAGGTTATCCAGATAAGACAATAGTTACTAAGGTGACGGAGGCTGAAGTGAGGTCCAGTATAAAGGATCTCAGGGTCTGGGGTCCAGAAAGTTCTCAAGAGCAACTGCAGCCCAGGTGACTGGTATATTGACTCTGAGCTTCTATCCTCGCCTTCAGAAAACTCACTCTTAAACTCTGTAGTGGTCCTCGGGGCCTTGCATTCTTCCTGCAAAACTTAATGCCTTTGAAACTGGGGTCTTCTATTGGTCCCTCCACAAGTGAAGCAATGGAACTATCATTCTGCATTTGTGCTCAAGGCTGCCAAGTGCTTTGAGGTGCTAATTAATTTTCACAGCAACCCTTGGCTACGGGCAATGTTATCCTCTGCATGTTACAGATAGGGAAACGGAGGCCCAGGGAGATTATACAACCAGGAGGATAGTGGATCCAGGCTTTTGTGGCCTAACCTGCATCCCATACGGCATCATTCGGCATCATTTTCGAGGCTGAAAGCTATGTAAGGGCAGGAAGGGAGTCCATTTTTCATCTCTGAATCCGAGCTCTCAGCACATCCCGGCACTCACTAGGTGCCCAGTATCTGTTAGTTGAATGATTGAATGAACGGGTTGGTGAGCCAGTCTCTCTTGGATAGTGGCTGTCCTGGGAGAGGACCACGTCTCATGACTTCAGTAGGATCATCACGAAGGCGCCCATTGTTTAAGGAGATGTAGCAGGCTACCCTGGAAGGGTGCCCCATCCTCTGGTCATCAGACACTTCTGTGTCTTTGGGACCTTTTCACCCAAATCTAGGCTAAGAGCTCCTTCCAGGAACAGGGTCTCGACAGGTGGTTCCAGCGCTCTGGTGGGACAGAGGGGAGCCTTGGGTGATGGATGAATCAGGGAAAGCAGGAGCCCTACTTAATAATGTGTCAGGGGCCAGGCTGGGCTGGTTATGCCGTGCCCTCCTCCCACCAACATCACAGTGTTTCTCAGAAGCAGAGCACCCATGGGGCATGAAGGACAGGCGCACCGATGAGCTGTGGTGACTACAGTCCAGGGACAGGAAGGGAAATTGGGCAATCAATCACACAACGTGACAGCTCCGAGTCAAGTCGAGCTCACTCAAACTGGCCGAGACAGTTGAAGGAGTCCCGGTGGGTGTCTGTTTATGCAAATCATTATTCAAAAGAGACTCATTTCTTGGGCTTCTGGAAATATGACAAGGTGTGTGGTGCTTCCTGAGGGAACTGCGACCTTGTGTTTGTGCATATAGGCGGGAGAAGGAAATCTGGAACAGGGTGTTTGGCAATTCCAGGAGCAAAGTAGCCTTCCTACTTCTTCTGCACTGGATAAACTCCAGGGACATTGACCTGGAAAGCTATTGGGTTCTTATTATCTTCATTACTATATATACTTTAATATTTTTATGAGGAGTAATTAGCACGGTGGTTACAATTCCATTGTATCCCATTCATTTTCCTTCAGCAGTTTCCTCATTGCAACTTTATGGCAGGTCAACAGCTCCTGTGTTTACTGGCACCTCTAGACTTTCAGTTCATTCCTTGTTTCCTCCTTTCCTCCCTCCCTTCCTCCCTTCCTTCCTTCCTTCCTTCCTTCCACCTTCCTTTCTACTTTCCTCCTCCTTTCTCTCTTCCTTCCCTCTTTCCTTCCTTCCTTCCTTCCTTCCTTCCTTCCTTCCTTCCTTCCTTCCTTCCACCCTTCCTTCCATCAGCAAATATTTATCAAATGTCTTCCCATACACCAGGCACTGTGAGGAATAATTGAGACAAATGAAAACTGTATCCACAAAAACATTAATCTTGCCTTAATATAATCTACCAGGGTATACTTGAAAGGAGGCCCCTGGGGAAATTGCAAGTAGCTGCCAATTTTGCTAATGATAATAAGTTTATTTTAATTGCTAATATATTCCTAATTACTCTAGTTCTAAAATGTTTACTTCGCTGTCAGTCATCTGCTTTGATTTATGTGCTTTGTGGGAAGACTTTGTCACATCAATCAAGTTTGGTGGCAGCTGCTGAAAGTGATTTCACCTTCCTTGTCACCCGGCTCGGCAGGGCACCATTTGTCCAAGGGCAGAGCGGGGCCGTCCCCACCAGTTCTTCTAGAACCCACGGCTTCCCACTGCAGCTTAGAGGAAAGTCATATTTTAAGGGCTTTGGTTACATGGACAAAGGAGACTGACATTGGCTGTTCCAAACTCTCTTTTTATTTAATTAATTAATTTATTTTTTAAAAACTTTGCCATATTCTTTTTTCTTAAAATATATTTTATTGATTTTTTTAACAAAGGAGACTGACATTGGCTGTTCCAAACTCTGTTTTTATTTATTTATTTATTAATTTAAAACTTTGCCATATTCTTTTTTCTTAAAATATATTTTATTGATTTTTTTACAGAGAGGAAGGGAGAGGGATAGAGAGTTAGAAACATCAATCAGCTGCCTCCTGCACACTCCCTACTGGGGATGTGCCTGCAACCGAGGCACATGCCCTTGACCGGAATTGACCCTGGGACCCTTCAGTCCGCAGGCCGACGCTCTATCCACTGAGCCAAACCAGCTAGGGCCCAAACTCTGTTTTTAATGTAATCTTCTCCTGCCTGTTCTGTCTCCTCTCATCTACCTGAACATATGTGTGTATGTGTATGTGTCCAAATAATTGTTTCAAGTATGTGACAAAGATCCCTAACCTGGGTGGGCATTAGAGAGGCCCATTAATCCATTTATTCATTATCTCCTCCCCTCCCCCCAAACATGAGATTGAGCCCCTAGTGTTGGGGATAGACTAGTGACCTAGACTGATGAGGTTTTGACCACCCCAGAACTTATATACTCATAGGAGGAGACAGATGGTAAACAAGTCAGCACATGAATTCTACATAAGGTGGTTGCAGATGAAATGTGCTATGAAAGGGACATGGGGCTGATAGGTGAAGTTTGGCGGAGGGCGACTCGGGGCAGTCAGAGTAGGTCACATTTAAGGTGAGATCTGAGCACAAGAAGGCAGTTATGTGAGAGCTAGAGGAAGATTTTCCACCCCCTGAGGGGAAAAGGTGCAAAAGCTCTGAGACTGGGAAGCACCTAGGCCTGTGAAAGGAATAGAAAAAGGCTACTAGGGTGATGGGGCAGAGGAGCAAAGAGGAAATGTTGAGGGAGAGCTGGGAGGAAAGCACTCCTGGAGGAGCTGGTAAGGAGATAGGGGGTGAGTCCAAGTGATAGCCACAGGCAGGTACAGAAGGTGGCCAACCACTAGCCCGGACCAGCCCCTGCCCTGACAGCCCTCAGAAGGAACCAAGTCCACCGACACCTTGAGCTTAGACTTCTCACCTCCCGAACTCCAAGAAAATAAGTTTCTGTCATTTAAGCCGCCCAGTTTGTGGCTCTCTGTGATAGCAGCTCTAGCAAACTAATATAGGAGTTAAGGATGACTCCCCAATTCTTTATTTGATATAATAAATAAATAAACATTTATTTATTTATGTCAGAGAGGAAGGGAGAGGGAGAGAGAAAGAGAAACATCAATGATGAGAGAGAATCATTGATTG